ACACCCCGAAGCCCACATGACAGCAGAACGAAGGCATAATACAGCAGAGTGAGTTTCCATTCCGAGTTCAACAAAGCTTTGATAAAATCGCAAGGAAATACCAAAGGCACATCGATATTTATGACCAGAGCCTCCTTTCTGATATCGGATTCAGCAGAGGATCAAACAAAGAAGTCGGCATTCACAGAAGAGCACTAAAGACCAACTTTTCCTGTATTCAATGTTTCTACTAGAAACAGATAAGTAAAACTGAGTTCAGTTATACTTAAAGGGACACTCCAGGCACCCAGACCACTTCTGCCCATTGGAGTGGTCTGGGTGCCAACTCCCACTACTTAACCCTGCAAGTGTAATTATTGCAGTTTTTTATAAACTGCAATAATTACCTTGCAGGGTTAACTCCACCTCTAGTAGCGTAACCACTTCTATTATGAATTTTATCTAGGTTCAGCACTACCAAGTTTATTTCATTTTGATTAGGGTTTTTTTTTCAGGTCTTTATTTTATTGGGGTTTATCTGTTCAGGGTCAGTACTATTCAGGCTCAGCTCAGCCACCAATCCGTTTGTGCTATTTGAGTTAACTGTTTATAGGGACAGTGTGATTGTTTGTATCACCGGATAAGGCATATCAATCTCTATTTATGCACAGCTAATCACTTTTATACAAAAACACAATATGTGCTGGCACTCAATTACGTAAGGTGCAGGTATTCGAGGTTTAACCCCACAACAACCTCCTAATTTCAATCATAAACAAATATGAATACCGCACTCAAAAAATTGCAATGAAACTTATTGCTAATCCTGCATTCAATTTCAAAATATTTATTGTAATGGTTTTAGATAAATTCATAAAGATAATAGTATTTCATCATGGTAACACTCATTTCAAAGGTACAGCCATGGGCTCGAATGTCGCTCCAGCATACGCCAACATTTACATGAATCGAATGGAAGAAACATGTATCTACTAGCATCCTCTATTTTCTAAATGCCTAGTTTGGAAGAGATACATAGATGACGTGTTTGTATGTTGGAGCGGCACTAGGGCCCATTTACAGGAGTTTTTTGAGTCGTTAAATACACAAGATGTAAATATTAAATTCACTATGTACTGTGATACGACGACGGTCCCTTTTTTAGATGTTCAGGTACAGAGAGTACTTAATTGCCTTCACAGTGACTTGTACATAAAACCGACCGACCGTAACAATCTATTGACCTACTCGAGTTTTCATCCAACTCATCTTAAGAACGGGTTACCATTCAGCCAACTGTTAAGGGTAAAAAGCCAACTGTTAAGGGTAAAAAGGATAGTATCACAGGAACATAAAGTGATGACAGGCTTAGATTTCATGGCCAAAAAATTCATAGAGAGGGGCTATCCCACACATATAGTCGATAATCAGCGACAGAAAGTTGATATTCTTTCCCGACAGGAAACTCTCTCGGGTGCAGGGGCCAGAAACAAAGTAGAAAGGATCACGTTAGTGACGCCATACACTCCACTTAACAGAGATATAAGACAAGTTATATTAAAACATTGGCAACTTTTTCAGGGGGATGCCCAATTACCCCTGATATTCCAACAGTCCCCGCTTTTTTCATACCAGAGGGCGTCGAACCTGAGGGACATGATAGTAAGGTCAGATATTGGCAGCTCTAAGAAACAAACCAGATTTTTTTCAGAACCCAAGAAGGGTACCTTTCCATGCCTAAACTGCTCACACTGTAACAGTGTGATCAAGGGGGAATATTTTGTTCATCCCAGGTCAGGCAAAAAGTTTTATGTCAAAGAATTTTACACATGCAACTCAGATTTTGTCGTATATGATCTAAAGTGTCCCTGTGGGCTTTTATATGTGGGGGAGACCATCAGGCCAGTGAAAGAGCGGATAGGGGAGCATAAAAGGAGCATTAGGGCAGCATTACAACACAATAAAGTGGAGTCTCCGGTACCCAGGCATTTTAAAACACATGGCCATAATGTAAACCAATTGAGGTTTCAAATCCTAGACAGAATCCCACCCCTACGTAAGGGGGGAGATAGACAGAAGCTCTTGCTCCAGAGAGAAACCAAATGGATAAGTACCTTGGAGACCTTGTCACCATTAAGACTTAATGAAGATTATAATCTTAAACATTTCTTATAATATTTTCATGTTTTCATTCATTGTCTGCTCTATGATTTTGTGCTCCTTACAGAGGCTCCCCTTGACCAGTTTTGGTCCGGTGTTCTTTCCTGCCAACACTTTGACCCTCCTGGGTCTGCTACCTGCCAGCAGCACAGGGTCCCTCACGCACATGGCCCGGGGGCACTGTGGGGCATTGTTAGACAGGTGAGTTGCATACTCAGATTTTACTATTTTTTTCTTATTTTTCATATTATGTTTTCTCCTTTTTATTATATATTTTTTCTCTCTTTTTTGTATTTTTTGAATTTTTTTCTTTTTTTCTTTTTTTCTTTCATTGCACATAATAAAGATAATTGTTCTTCTCTTTTTTCTCTTTTTTATTTAGCTGGTTGCTCAACTGGCTTATATCTACAGATTTTTTCACTTTATTTTTTTCTCTTGATCATGTGTTACAGGTGAGCTTTATAATAACTGTTCATCAGTTGGATAGACCTACTTGGAAATATTCCAAGATTTTCTGTCTTTTTTGTTTATCATTTTTTAGACTATTTCAAACTATTTGGTTTGTGTTAAGTTTGCCTTATATTCATAACTGTGTAATTAGATATGCTGTTTAGTAAAATAGCTTTTTGGCAGTCTCTTCTCTCCTCTTTTTCTTTTTTCATTTACTATGTCCACTGCATAGGTCACCTCTACTGTACATATACTATTCGGTTTTGCATTAGTTTATTATTGTGCTGTACATTGACAATTAGGGTCCACTCCAGATGCTCCTCTTATTGCATATAAATTATGCTGTGGTATTATCCTTTAAAGAGCCATTTCTTCTGGTTAAATGTATTAAGTTGTCTACAGGAGCAATGTGTTTGTGAACAATAAAGTTTGGTTGAATACGCATGACGCAGCGACGCATGCTGACGTCAGAATGCGGAAGTAGGTCTACGGAGTGGAATTTAGCCGCCAATTTAGGACATATAAACCATTGCATCTGCAGGACGGAGAGAACAGGGGCCATCGAAGGGACATGAACGTCCCGAGCGCGCAATCCCCTTCTATCACATTATCATCTGCAGACTTCAGCATCCTCCTACTGTGTATATCAAAAAGCAACTTCTACATTGGTGAGATCCACCCATAAACAGTGAACCATATAGTGCACTATATTTTGGACTGCTATCTATCAGGACTGTATTACTTTTTTATAATTATTTTTTCTTCTTTTTTTCTTTTCTTTTTCTTTTTTCCCTTTTTTTGGTTGGATTTTTTCTATTTTTTCATTTCATTTTTTCTATTTTTTCTATTTTTTGGATCATTACCTACTGTATATAGATATATAGATTATGAACTTTATCATGGAGGAGGGAAGATTCTGTGTGTATATATATATATATATTTATATATATATATATATGTATGTAAATAGTTTATGCCAGGAGCACACATATTCTAAACTCCCTACTGTTGAGGAGCCAACTCGTAAAGAGGCCATACTAGATTTAGTGTTAACAAATGGAGATTTGGTATCAGATGTTACTGTAGGTGAAAGTTTAGGATCCAGTGATCATCAGTCAGTGTGGTTTAATATAAGAACAGTGACTGAGTCACACCACACAAAAACAAAAGTTTTTAGACTTTAGAAAAACAGACTTTTCTAAAATTAGAATATGGGTAGAGGAGTCATTATCAGACTGGAGCAATTTAAATGGAGTCCAAGAGAAATGGGATTATTTAAAAGTTGCACTATTGAAGGCAACAGAAAATTGCATTAGGCTTGTCAGTAAAAGCAAAAAAATCAAGAAACCACTGTGGTACTCCACAGATATGGCCAAATAGTTAAAAACAAAACGTTAGCATTTAGGAATTATAAAAAAAAACAGAGTGAGGAAGACAAAATGATCTATAAGATTAGGCAGAAAGAGGCTAAGCAAGTTATAAGAGCTTCCAAGTCACACACAGAAGAGAAAATAGCACAGTCAGTAAAAAAGGGGGACAAAACATTTTTTAGATACATAAATGAGAAAAGAAAAGTAAAACAAGGATTAGTTAGATTAAAAACAAAAGAAGGAAGGTATGTAGAAGAGGATAAAGGTCTAGCTGACTGCCTCAATGAATATTTTTGTTCTGTATTTACAAATGAAAATGAAGGAAAAGGACCTCAGTTGAGAAAAAGGATAAATGAGTCATTTATTACACGTGAGTTTACAGAGGAAGAGGTTCTATTTCAACTGTCAAAAGTAAAGACAAATAAGTCAATGGGACCTGATGGAATACACCCAAAGCTATTAAAAGAGCTTAGTGGTGTACTAACAAAACCATTAACAGATTTATTTAACCAATCATTGTTAACAGAAGTAGTCCCAGAAGATTGGAAGTTAGCGAATGTTGTGCCCATTTACAAGAAAGGTAATAGGGAGGAGTCGGGCAACTATAGGCCAGTAAGCCTTACTTCAGTAGTGGGGAAAGTGATGGAAACCATGTTAAAAGGATAGGATTGATGAACATCTAAAAACACATGGATTTCAAGATCAGAGGCAACATGGGTTTACTTCAGGGAGATCATGCCAAACTAATCTTATTGATTTTTTGATTGGGTAACTAAAATTATAGATCAGGGTGGTGCAGTAGACATTGCTTACCTAGATTTCAGTAAGGCTTTTGACACTGTTGCACATAGAAGGCTTATCAATAAACTACAATCTTTAAGTTTGGATTCCAATATTGTTGAATGGGTAATGGGTAGTGGCTGAGTGACAGGCAACAGAGGGTTAATGGAATATATTCGAAGCTTGGACTTGTCACCAGTGGGGTACCTCAGGGATCTGTACTTGGACCCATTCTCTTTTAATATTTTTATTAGTGATATTGCAGAAGGTCTTGATGGTAAGGTATGTCTTTTTGCTGATGATACTAAGATATGTAACAGGGTTGATGTTCCAGGAGGGATAAGCCAAATGACAAATGATTTAGGTAAACTAGAAAAATGGTCAGAATTGTGGCAACTGACATTTAATGTGGATAAGTGCAAGATAATGCATCTTGGACGTAAAAACCCAAGGGCAGAGTACAGAATATTTGATAGAGTCCTAACCTCAACATCTGAGGAAAGGGATTTAGGGGTGATTATTTCTGATGACTTAAAGGTAGGCAGACAATGTAATAGAGCAGCAGGAAATGCTAGCAGAATGCTTGGTTGTATAGGGAGAGGTATTAGCAGTAGAAAGAGGGAAGTGCTCATGCCATTGTACAGAACACTGGTGAGACCTCACTTGGAGTATTGTACACAGTACTGGAGACCGTATCTTCAGAAGGATATTGATACCTTAGAGAGGGTTCAGAGAAGGGCTACTAAACTGGTTCATGGATTGCGGGATAAAACTTACCAGGAAAGGTTAAAGGATATTAACATGTATAGCTTGGAGGAAAGACGAGACAGGGGGGATATGATAGAAACATTTAAATATATAAAGGGAATCAACACAGTAAAGGAGGAGACTATATTTAAAAGAAGAAAAACTACCACAACAAGAGGACATAGTCTTAAATTAGAGGGACAAAGGTTTAAAAAATAATATCAGGAAGTATTACTTTACTGAGAGGGTAGTGGATGCATGGAATAGCCTTCCAGCTGAAGTGGTAGAGGTTAACACAGTAAAGGAGTTTAAGCATGCGTGGGATAGGCATAAGGCTATCCTAACTATAAGATAAGACTAGGGACTAATGAAAGTATTTAGAAAATAATAATAATAATGGTTCTTATCTGCCGTCACATTCTATGTTTCTATGTTTCTATGTTTCTATGTTTCTATGTATATAGGATGAAATGAGTGTTACCATGATGAAATACTATTATCTTTATGAATTTATCTAAAACCATTACAATAAATATTTTGAAATTGAATGCAGGATTAGCAACAAGTTTCATTGCAATTTTTTGAGTGCGGTATTCATATTTGTTTATAATCACTCTTATAGATCGGTACTTCAAGCACATTGAACCCTAATTGTACTCAACACGCGTTACACCAATACCACTCAGTGGGCTATACGAGCCGTACATATCACAAACCTTTGAGTAAAGTATTCTGACTGCTCAGTAAGGGTTTAGGTGTTTAAAGCACTTTAGAGGACGTTCTCCTTGTTGCTCTCTGTCCGGCCGGACTTTCTATTCACCAATTACCCAAACTATATGTAGCATCGCCCCAGCCATCATCTAGGATTAGAGGAAGTATTCAATTAAGGGTCTAGGATTCATTGTAAGGCTAGTTTTTTCGACCCCCTTTTGAATAGGGTCTAAACTGCCTCATTCCTCCACAGTGCCCCTCTAACACCCATTAATAGACCTCTAATTGAATAAACCCCCACTAGCACTATAACCCAGCGTTTTTTCACATTTGTAATGATAGCATGATAAAGCATCCAGTCACTTAATTTTATTTAAGGACTTCTGCTATCTAGTATATCAGGGGATACATGGTTAGTCTTTCTAACCCTTATGTCTTAGTGCAGATAGCTGGCTACAGAATGAGTTGTTATTTTTAAACTGTTTGCAACATTGTATCTCAGTTAGATACTTCTCAGCAATAGCCACAAGTTATGCACAGCTTGTGAGGGCAAAACGCTTTTTTAAATAGGTAGGCTGCTCCTTTTTATTATTGTACATATTTTAGTTTTTCACTCTTTTTCACTTATTTCATTACTATTATTCTTGCTTGATTTCCCCTAAGAGGGATTAATAAAGACATTTACTATTTTCACACTACTTTTCTGTTAATTTATGCTCTAGGAACTGGCACTATTTTGCTATACATAGATAGAGCAATTTATTTTGGGGTATCGAGTCTGAAGTTGGTTAACCCACTCCGGTCTCGTTTTAAGCTACTTCAATCTTTGGGTTATGCCCTAATACCCTACAACCATTACAACCCTGACGAGGAATCTTATTGGTCTCTCATTGGCGCTGTTTTTCTCTTACATGGAATTCAGACACACCCTTCATCTTTCCAGCCTTGTGTTTAAGAGCTTTCCTGGGAAGAATGCTCTCTCCGGCTGATCCCACCTCCTATAACCTCTGATCCAGTACTAGTACTTTATTTAGTCTACCTTAATATGAAAAGAAAGCAGCTCGATTCTCCTTTTCCTACAGAGATGAAATACTATTATCTTTATGAATTTATCTAAAACCATTACAATAAATATTTTGAAATTGAATGACCTCCTGCACACTTTCAAATCTTCCCCAGGCCTAAAATCCCCCCCCAGGCCTAAAATCCTTTTAGAGATCCCTCTCTTCATATCTTAAAACAGAATGCATCTGTAATGGTTGATTATATATTTCTTACCTGTTCTATGTTAAATTTTGTATATATTGTGTATTAATAATAGTTTTTGAATTTTATTGTACCCTATTGTATCAATGCAATGTTTTGTGAACAAAGGACATATTTGAAAACAAGAGAAATCTGAATGTATCCTTCCTGTAAAATATTTTAAAAACAATAATTTGATAATCGCAATACTTTTTTTTTACCTTTCAAATAATACTGTAAGATAAGTCCATAAAGAAAGAAAATGGTAACATGTAATGTTCTATCGAACCTTTAGCAGCTTATATCAGTTTATATCAGACAATCTAAAAATATCTCAGGAATTTCAACACGGAAAAGTGAGCAAAAAATAACATAATTTGCAGATGACATAATTCTAACTTATCCAGAAATTTCTATCCCTTCAGTTATGGATTGTATAGATTAAATTAGTCTAATTAGAAAGATAACCTACACAAACTCAAATAATAGATTGTAATCTCTCTCAAGTCTAAGAAGATTCACTTAAATTAAAATGTAGATTTAATTGGGATACTCATACAATACAATATCTGTTAACTTTAATTCACTTTGATATAAAAACATGGATACATTTAAACTACCTTAAACTTTTTAAAGATTTGAAAGATCAAATCAAAAACTGGAATAATAGAATACTATTCTGGATGGGTAGACTTAATACATTAAAGGCATACTTAAAACCTAAACTGTAAAATGTTTTTCATACAATACCATTAAGAGTCCCAAAGAAAATATTAAACCTTTTTTTAAGCTTTTTTATTCTCTTATATAGACTGGAAAAAAAGCAAGGATAACCTGGAAAATAATGACAGGGCATTTAAGTGAAGGGGGTTGTCCTTTCCCAATATTCAATTGATTCATAATACAGTTATGTTCTCCCATAAATATAAATTCTAGAAAGTAAACGTGGTATAAGATTGAGAGGAAAATTTGTGATTGTGGATCCCTACCTACTTTTTTGGATAGATAGTAAATAATTTAAAAAAGCAATGATCGACAATTTGATAATCTCTTAAATTTATAAATCTGTTGATATATGCTGCAAAGAAGTGGTTAAATTATTTATAGAAGATCTCAATATAACTTATTGGTTAAAAAAAAAAAAAAAAGTATAGTTTAAATTGGTCAACTGGGTTCAAATATATCACCTAATACTTTTTTTTAGATATGCAACAGAAATATGATTTGTCTGATAATGAAAAATTTCATATAAATATTACTTGTTTACCAAATTCAACAAAGATCTGTATTTCCAAGTATGTGCTATGGTAAGAAGAAGAAGAAGAAGAAGAAGAGGAAGAAGAAGAAGAAGAGGAGGAAGAGGAAGAAGACTACTAAATGGGCATTGAACTATCTATAATTTGCAAATTGAAGTATTGTCTCTGAATCGATTAATCAATAACAACAATATCAAATAGTCATAGCGACTCTCTTGTTCGACCCAAAGGCACCCCCAGCACACAACCTACCCTCTTTTTTTTTTCTTTTTGCTTTCATTGTTTATATGGTAGTGTGTATGTTTGTTTATTATGAATAACATGTAGAATAGAAGAATTGTGTAAATCATTAGTCATTACATGATTAATATTAGATTGATATTGTGAAGAAAATAGACTTTTACCTGTTATTTTCTCCCTTTTTATTCGGTATTTTTATATATGAATACTTGTATATTGAATGGATTGGTTCGGTAGTTTGAAACTACTGAACGCCGACCACCCTCCTGGCTCATTTACTTCAAAGAAAACTAGCTATTAAGTGTTCCCTGGGCGGCCGCTGTTCGTATAACCGAATGCCACGTGGAAAAGAAAACGGCGGCCATCTTGTTCGCACTAGGAGAGCCAGCGGGACTTGGTCGTCGAGTGTCTGGAACTAAAATCGGACACTCGACCTCACGAACTACCGCTGGAAACTACCGAACGCCGGCTTCTCATACTTCCCGAACAGCCAGGAAAGCCTCATTCGGTAGTTCTGTGCGAACGGACAAGGGGAGCAATCGCTACTATGAGCCAGGGGAATCCATTCGGGACTTTTATTCGTTTTTTTCAGTTTTGTGAATTGATCGACCGCACACGCTGAATTCATGGAACTGTTTTGGGCAGGAGCTGCGTGTGTGGTCGGTAAAAGGGACCTTCCACACTTTTTCAGAACCCCTGAACCGATCTGGGTGAAATTTGGATATGTTTCTCCCCCCGATCGGGGCTATCAGGGGATAATTTGTGGGGATACCTTGTGTGGAAAGGGGTGTTCTAAGTTTTGAGGAAATTATGTGCTCTCTGCCTGGAGATAACTCCTTAACTTATCTCAATATCTCCCAGGCAGAGAGGAGGCGTGTAATACTGTAAATTTGTGTGATGATTGGCTGTGGCTTTTGTTTGCTGTGGGAGGTCCTCTTGCAGGAGGATTTCTCATAAAAGCCTGTGTGTTTTCAATAAAGGCTATTCCTGTTACACCCTTCATGAAGTCTAGGCTCATGTTTGGGGGATATTCTACTTGCTGGGAAGAATCACCTTGGAACTGCATTTCATCTATTCTATTCCTCTACTCCCTGCTGCAGCTATAATCACTCATGCTCAGCTGTTGGGAGAGGGAACCAAGACCGCAGCACCATAACCACTGCAGGTCTTAACAGATATGAATCACTCAAGAGAATTCATTCATAAAATAGTGAATGCTTAGAATTCACTATATCTGTTACAATATCCCTTACATTTCTTGGTTCTATAATCAAAGGATTTTATATG